GAATGCGACGGACGACATCGTTGCAGAACCCGCAACAAAACAACAACGCACTACACCACCTCCACGACTTCCGTCCACATCGACGTCAAGTTCACGACCACTACCGGATAGTCCTATGGCTACTTCACCAACTGGACGACAACATCCACCACTACCAGCACCACCTCGACAAACACTACGACGTTTAACTCCGGAAGAAGTAATGCAACCAACTAAAGCACAGAAGACCTCCAAGGACACTACAATCAGATCAACGGAACAAGCAACCAAAGAACCACCACCACTACGACAGAAAATCAACGCAGTGACACTTCCCAACGGAAAATCCATCACTCCCTACACAAACGACGACACATCAGAAGACCAACCCATAATCTTCGACAACGAAGGTTACGACGAAACACAACTACTGGAAGGAATGAAACACGAGTCAAACCAAATGAAACTACACGACGTCTACGACGAAGTAGATGCGTCTACCGTCGACGACAACGTCATCAGAGAAGCGATACCTACAAGATGGGTACACAGAAAGAAAGGACCAGGAGTACGAAGCCGAATCGTCGCAAAAGGCTACACCGAGAAGATCGAGGACGAAGACTCCGTCTACGCCTCTACACCAATGTTCACGACACTCCGGACACTTCTCGCACTACAAATGTCACGACCAAACTGGATCGCGCGACTAGGTGACGTCTCTACAGCATTTCTACACGCACCCATCGCAAAAGACCACGACGGTAAACAACGTGACGTCTACCTTTGGCCACCTAAAGAACTTTGTCCACAACAGGACAAAATCTGGCGACTAAAGAAAGCCATGTATGGACTACGCAGTTCACCGAAAGCGTGGCAGGACTACCTGGCTGAAGTTCTACAAAAGCTAAGCTTTGTAAGACTAAAGTCAGAACCCAACGTCTACACCAATGCGACTCGCGACTGCTACATCATGGTCTACGTGGACGATCTACTAGTACTTGGAAACAAGACCGCAGTCGACTTCACTTTCGAGGTCGTTTAGAAGCAGGTATTACTCAAGCACATCGGCTACCTAGAACCTGGCAAACCACAACAATTTCTTGGAAGAAACATCGACCACTTCGGCAACTACTGCAATCTCGGACTAAAGGACTCCTACATCGACAACATGATCGAGGAGTCTGGAATGAACAACTGCAACTTAGTGAACACTCCAGGAATTGCACACTACAAGCCAACAATAGAAGATGAAGCACTACTTGACCACGAACAACACAAAAGGTACAGAAGAATTGTTGGCAAACTTCAATGGTTAGCATACACACGACCAGACATTGCATACTCCACAAAAGAACTAGCACGAGACCTCACAGCACCTACAGAACTTTCACAAAAGAGAGTCAAACATCTACTACGCTACTTGCACGGCACCAAGCACTACAAATTCACCATAGAACCAACAACAACACTCAGAGCAAACACCAACAACATCCTGGATCTCGACGTTCATGTCGATGCCGACTGGGCAGGATGCCCTACTACCAGGAAATCAACTTCAGGTTTCAACATCATCTTTCTAGGAACAACAGTTGCATTTGGCAGCAGAACACAAGCTACAATAGCACTCAGCTCAGCAGAGTCTGAACTCTACGCCATTTGCACAGGAGTTAATGAGGGACTACACCTCAGAAACTTCCTACTTGAAACCAACATTTGCAGCAAGCTAAACCTACGCATCCACACAGACTCCACAGCAGGCAAGAGCATTGCTACACGACAAGGCACTAGCAAACGAGCAAAACACATCGACCTCAAATTCCTCTACACACAAGACCTCATCAAGCACGACATCATCAGAATCCTTAAGATCAACACACTCCACAACAGCGCAGATTTGTTTACCAAATACATCAGCAAAGAAACACTACACAGGCTCATCCAGAGCATTGGAATACGCATCTAGCACTACGAACGACCAGCACAGCAGTTTCACAACAACAACAACGACTTTGGACATTTCATGTATGTAAGTATCTACATGTAACACGACACTTTTGGTATGTAAGAAACAGTAACTACATGTACTTTCACTTGCACTTTTGGCGGCTTGAGTCAACACTACAGTTGTTTGTTTTTACATGTCTGCATTCGCCGACTGCTTGGTAGCAACTACTTAGGCTCATTTGTTTTGCCCCGTTTCACTACATTTTGCATTCCACTGCAGCCATGGCCGCTCCATCTACTGCAGATGCTACGATGGGAGACGCCACTACGCCCGACAGGGCAACTACACCTGAGGTGGCGGTCACTACGGACTCCAGTGACCACGGAACTCCACCACCTAAAACCTACCACGACTCCAACTACCACTTCAACCATTCTACACCTGGCAACACGGTCTACTACAACCCGACCACAGTGATGGACCAACTACACATCACTGAGCACCAGACAACCACTGCACCACCACTGCCCGACAACATTCCCTACACTCAATTTTTCACTGCATTTACACTTGAAG